AACAGGCTTCACTTGGTCACCCAGGCGTAGGCAGAGAATTTGAATAACGCCACACAGCATACCTGCATCATGACAAGCACAGCCCATGCAGCGCTTGCGTTTGCCAAGTGGTCCACTTGTTTGCGTTCTCATGTACGCACTCAACACGCAGCTCCCAAGTGGCCATCAGCACTCCGCCCATACCACTTGAATGGGCTTTCTTCAGATATCCCAAATCATGTAGTCACTACCACAAGCAAACGAGCTGCAAATATCGAACACTCCGAGAGGAATTGGAAGCTGCCGGAAAAAGCCCTCACCCTGGCGCTGTTTCGTCTGTTCCGTCTGTTCGAATGAAAAAGACTTCCTCAGCTGACCCTCGAAGTGTTCAAGGAGCGAGAGAAGATGGTTCCAGCATGCACTCCCTGCAAGGGCACCCCACAATTTCAATCGTCCACCTTACACCCAGCAATGAAGGTGAGCAAACGCGGCATGCTGCCAGCTCTACAGTACCGTGTCAAAGCTGAAAAATGAGAAGCGCGCGCGAACTCAAAGTTTTAAGCAGCCCAAAGCGTCTAACCTGCATTCTTAATCAACGCCCCCATGCAATTGAACGCGGCTTCGCGCAAATTCTTCTCGTCCTGCACGAACACAAGCAGTGAACAAAGGCGTCACTCACAGCAGAACTAGAACATATACAAGATGAGAAACCAGGAGAACGCAGGGCCTGACTTACAGCGTCTGGCCGTTCTGAGACACTCAAAAGGGCTTCACAAAGTTTGGGAAATATTGGATCCAATGGATTTTGATCTTGCTGTTGCGCATCGGTTGTTCCTTGATATGCCGCTCGGCCCTCAGGTGTGTTAATGTTGTCCGCTAGTTCATGAAGCATCCAGCAGATGTGCACTGCCACCCTCGGCTGGTCAGCAAGACGTTCAACGATAGCAAGCAGGAGTTCACCGCTGCTGTTGGCGGGGGCACCCGCTGGCTGCACGCCGGCAGGCGGGAACAGATGGCGCAGCACAATAGGTGCATGCTGCTGCGCTGCCTTGCCAAGGGTCCATGCAGCGCTGTCTCGCACAGCTACTGAAACATCCGACGCAACCGCCTTCACCAACATTGGAAACGAAGTTGCGACGTAAGGGGCCATTGCCTCTGCGCTTGGTCCCTCCATCACGCAGCCCAACGCCAACAGAGACGCCTCTCGCCGACGCCACTCAGTAGACGAAAAGTTCAACTGCACGAACTCTAGCACGGGGGGAAGGATTGCATCTTTCACTACCTGCGCCAAAAAAGAACGAATGTATAGTGCACCATGAGTTCACCCTCAAGTAGTGGGTAAGGCAACTGGGAGGCATTTTGCACGTCTGGAACGGTTGTGCCCTTCCCTTGCTCCCACGCAATCTCCCCCGCACTTCTGCAGCCCGCTGCGGGCTGCGGGCAAGGAAAGTTCGGTTACCCAGGTGGTCATAATATGCCAACTGACCTGTGCGCAGAGGCCTAAGCATATAGCGGCGGCCATAGCCGGGGTCCAGCTGTCATCATCATCCTCGTCCTCTGCTGCGTTCAGAAGCTGTGATAGGAGGAGGGGAAGCAGGAAAGGTGCAGCTTGCTCCATGATTTTCAACAGAGTCCATCGGGTTGATTCGCCTTCTATTATCGCCAGCTCTTCCTCAGCCAACGCATTCCACACCTCCAACGCCGCAATAACAACTGCCGAATCTGACCCCTTCAGTGCATGCCAAGTGAGCTGCACGCAACATCCATAAAGACGCGCAAACCGAAGCACTCGACGTCAAAGCATCCCCCCTCTGANCTACGCAATTAACCTTATCTCTGGCCTTGAGGGCACACTGTCCGCCGAGGGGAAAAACGAAACAGACCAGTAGAGCTGCACAACAGCCTGAACGAGTGCACAAGCCCCACTACTCGTGCGAAGCTACCATCCGTGCAGGAGAGCAATGACGAGCAAACACAGTGTGTCATTTGCAATGCACGTGAAGCCAGGCGTAGTCCCTAGAGCTGGCGAGCATCCAACACAGTCATGTGTGACTGCGCTTCAGCACTGCCCACAAGCCCTGCTGTGTATGCTTGACAGTCCAGTGTAAGCCGTGGTGTGATGCAGCGGTGCATAAGCACGCTCACACTGGTGCTGCTGTCAGAACTTACTGGTCCGACAGTAGGCATATATGCTTCTAAGAAGGAGTAATACTCCTGTGCAATTTGCACAATGCACTCAAAAGCTGCAACTTGAACGGGGCTCGGATTCGACGCGCCGCCAGCCTCCACTACCGAAGCGATGATATAGTCCCGTTCTCCCTGTGTATCGCACAAAACAAGATACCCACGCCACTGTGAAATCGATGCAACATTCCTGGTCAACAAACATGGGAATATCTATTTTCGCATCGACGATTCGTCTCCACTGCAAGCCTGAGCAGGAGCAAGTGTCACCTTTCTATTGAAGTTCTCCTTGGCGAAGATCAGTGCGTGGTATAGAGCGCGCAACGCCGCCACCTTCAGCTGAGGATCCGAATCCTTCAACCCTGCAGCCGCAACAGGAACCCCCAAGACAGTCGCATAAGCCAATGCGACAACAATGAGCAGGCAGACCGAAGAAAAGCAGGTGACGGTGACACGCATGCCATGTAGACTAAAGGGCAAAACAATGAACTAGACTGGGTCCCCAGTGTTAGGTAGTGCAGTAGACAACTAACCATGAACCACAGCTGTGAGAACGACATTGCATCTGTCTGCCGAGAGGACTTCTGACGGCTCCTCTCCTTCTGAAACAACATCAGCAAGTTCTTCGCAAAGATACGCCAGGCACGTGAGAGCATGTCGTCCGCATGCCTTGGCGAGCTGTTGCTGCTGCGGCTGCTGACAAGAAACCGCCTGCTGCACCATGTCCTGGAGTGAAGGTAATAGATCTTCAAACTCCAAGGATCGTAGCTCTATAACCCCCAACTTCGCCAAGGCCTGGCACACTGCGTTGCCGACCTGAACAGCAGCAACCCTCAGGCTCATTTCGGTCACTAAGTTCTAAGCCACGAGCGCAAATCCTTGGCGGCGCTGCGAGGTAGTCAACTACACAGATAGCTCTTCTGGATGTCCACCAACAGGAGGCAATCCTCGTGAGGCATGTGCTCATACATGAGGTGTCGTTGGGTGCGCTTCAGCGCTCACCTGAGTGCACTCTGTCTGTAAAGCTGCTAACAATTGCTTCTTTATTTCAGATTTCGTTGGGGTTGGAAGCGCCCGCCAGGCCTGTGCAGCTGCACCATCCAGCGTCATGTCCTGCACCCGCCCACAACACCATGGTCACTTGACGTTGGTTTATAGGTATTTCTAGCTGTACCACAGCATCGTTTAATTGCGGTCCTTCAACCTTAGGGTTGCTCCGATGCACGCCCAAAAAGGAACCGCAGCTCGAACACAGCAGTACAGAGATAAAAAAGAACTAGCCATCGGGCAGCAGCAGCGCCACGCAAGACAGCGAAGGCCGTAGCAGCAAACGACGGCGCATGCCAATAGCCACGGAGAATGGACTCACCTTAGCGCTGATGGAGTTCTTGAAGGTCACAGCAGCAATCTGCTTTGCTATAAGGAGATCTTCAACGCTGCCGGGAGCCCCCTGGGGCCCCTGAGGCGGCTGCTCTAAGGCAATGAGCGCAGCCATTGAGCTCACAAACTGACCGAGGTCTGTCCGTCTCGCAGCTGTCAGCTGCTGCTCTGCTGCCTGCCGTACGGAGGGCCGAGGGTCAAGGGTCGCTAGCAGCAACTGCTGCAGTACCGCCATCTGGTCAGCCATTTTCTGCAGATCCTGAACGTCAAATGTGGGGGATAAACGTGCAGATGAAGGGTGAACGTCTGAGCAGGTGCTGCTGTTGCTGCTGCTGCTGCTGCTGCTAGTGCCGCTGCTGCAGCTGCAGCAGTGCCACCGCAGCTCTCTCAGCAGTGCTCCTGGCTTAGAAACAAAGTTGAATCTAAGGCTTCATGCGGATAACCACAGAAGCACTCCGCGTCGTCTGCTGCTGCTGCTGAGGAGCAGCAGCTGCTGCTGCTGCTCCGGTTGAAAGGATGCCAGCAGCTCTTGCTGCCGCTCCCGAAGGACGCCTTGCGATTAGTATGTGGGATGTCTGGTTCACCGGTTGTGGCAGCGAAGAGATTGCCGGACTGCTTAGGCACAGTGTGTATGCGTTGCTGCTGCTGCTGATGCTGATGCTCCTGCCTCAAGAGCTGGAACCCATCCAGGTCAGCCATACCAGGAAAAGCCAACAGCAACGGTCCCGGCGGAGGGAGACCCGACCGAGCAACAGCAGCAGCCGTAGCAGCGGCGCAGGAACCGCTTCAGCGACTGTACAACTACCGTGAGCAATGCCGTCCCTGTTGCTCCTGCAAATTGCTTTAGGTGCAACAAAATCAACTTCTTGTCCGGCCGGGCTTCTGCTGCTGCTGCCGCCGCTGCCGCCGCAGCAGACCCGAAGCTGGGGAGGGGAGGGGGAGCTAGTCTAGCAGACAGCAGCCGTCACAGAGTGAATTTAATTGCATTTCCTCGCCATATGAGCTGCTGTTGCTGTCCTTGCTGCTGCTCAGCCTGGTGCGCCCTAGTCACGGCCGCTGCAGCAGCCGCTGCAACAGCTGCTGCGGCCGCAGCTGCTCTGCCTACTCTGCAGCAGCAGCCGCAACATGAAGGCAACACAGTGCTGCAGTACCGCAGCCTGCTCCAGGTATACGGTGATATATTCGATTATATAAACCCACTATACATATTTAAGTAGTGGAGACAGGATGAGCTCGTCCTTGTTGCCACCTGCAGAAATCCGCTGCGCCCCACATGTTTCCCTATCTGCACGCAAACCCCCGCAAGCCCTCTCTTACGGGAAGGGGCAGAGATGGCCTTCTGCCGCTGTCTCTGTCGATATTTTCCAAAAATAATTAAGGTCTGGGTAAGATTCGCGTATGAGGAGCTCAGGGCGAATGGAAAGCCTGAGAGAATGCAAAAACAAATGGGCGAGCCTCGCCGTGCATGCTGTTGTGGTAGCGACCGTGATAGAATATGTGTTGTGCTCTGAACTTCTATGCGAATCGTTTCCTATGGAAGCATGAATTGGAAAATTGACAAGGCATCCGCTACTTCCGTTAAATGGGTGTAAGTCTATTAGTCGATGTCGGTTCTAGCGATGTGGCGTGGCGGTCGTAACGTTAGCCTTCTGGCCTTAATTAAGGATAGAAAGGAGCCGAAATGAATGTGGAAACTCGGACTACGGGCTTTCCCAAAGTTGCTGGGATCCTTCCCCTCTCTGCAGGTGTCGTGGGTGTCGAGCTTAGAGCGCACCTCGCTGGTGCTTGTTAGGAGGGCCAGCCTTACGTCTACACACGCGTGTCTTTATCCATCACTGCTGCTGTTACTGGCAGTCGTATTTCTGCTGGTACTGTTGCTGCTACTAATGCTGCTATTGCTGATGCTGCTGCCTGTGAAGTACCTTAGCTTCACCATACCAGCGCACGCACGGGGTTGCGAGTGGAGCTCTCTGCATGAAAAGAACAGGCAATGAATTGCCTCTACCACGCAAGTTCCATACGTGCGCCTGCAAACTCACCGAAGAATCCTTTCTTTATCGAAGTTTTGAGGGATCTTCGCCAGGTGTATTATGGATTGATCATTGGCTTAGAGAATGAGGAGCCTGCCATACAACTAACTTCTACGCTTCCGTCCCACCAGGCCGCCTGAACCTCCTGCCCACGTACCGGCTACTTCGGCCCTCTCTCTATGAATCATGGTCACGAGCAGGCTATGTTTTGGTGTTTTTTTCCCGGCTTTCTGGGAGAGTATCAGACTGACTGCTGGACGACTGTTATTGCTGGTTAGGGAAGAAGGCTTGTGGAATTCAGGGAGTGCAGGTACCAGTGACGATGGCCGCTGTCTCATGAGGCATCTGCTGTGTTCTTCGCCGGTATCGTTCCCAAAAGTCGAAAGTTCTTCTTGATTTGAGCTTTTAGACGGGCGCCGATGCAAGGGAATATAAAGATGGAGTTGCAGCAGTCCGGTGCTTGGCAGAGAAACTTTTGAACGCTGGTGCGAGGGTACACGAAAAACGGCTTTTGCGCCTATGGTAGAGATGTACCGGGACCTGAAAAAGCTCATCCGCGAAGGCAAATATATAGACTTCTGAACGAAATCGGCCAAGCAGTTCGTTATTCAACATCCTGCCTCTCCAGCTTAGCCCTTTTTCACGAGCCTGAAACGTCGAACTGTCTGGAATCTGTGTTGCAAAAGAAACAAATGTCGCTCAAAACGATGCTGCACTAGATTCCCAGGCTAGCTTCTCTTCCCGCTTCTTAAACCCTTCCGAGCGAAGCTGGCATTTAGAGCATCAATAGGCAGAGGCGCTATTCTTGTGTCATTTACAAGACCGCTTTCCTTGATTCCAAAGGGGCCAAGTGTCTTCGCAAAGACCACCCCTTCCCCCCTTGCTCCCTTCTCTGTGGCCTAGCCAGTTATCGACTTCTTTGCCCTTGAAGACAGCGCTGAGATGAGCCATTGATTTATAAGCTGTTATTCCACTGTTAGGCTTTTGTTCACCATGGACTAGTACTTCTCAATGCGTTTTTCTTGATGGCTGCCGTTGGTTGAGCTTTCTTAATTCCGCCGCAGCCTGTTCCCTTGCCGACATGGGCGTGAACGCACATCGCAGGGCGCTTCAAACATCTTCCGTTGTGATACCCTTGCATGCATATAGTCGCTGTTGTCGTACCTCCCCTTAAAATATAGGGTTATATTGGAAGGGGTGTCACGACAACAGCAGCGATATAGACGCGAAAAGATGGAGCTCGCATCGTGTTGCGGCCAATGCGGCGAAGCCAACACATATGCAAACACAGCCAACAACCACCTCATTAATGCACATATTGTATACAAGCATTAAACACAAAATTTGCCACCTGTGTCCAGTTTGGGTGGAGGCAGAAGTACGCATGCCAACTTTACACAGAGAACACAGCATGCACCGTGTAAGGTTCAGCAGAGCAGGAGTCTCCTAAATTATGAGAAGTGAATCCAACACCATTGTAATGCCCTGCGGTTCAGCAGGACAGGTTTCTCGTACATTACGTGAATCCAACGCAACTGACGCAACTACCGAGCGTTCGAATCGTTCCCTTGTACATCTATATGAATTTTCTCCTGGGAGTTACACATTGAATTAAGTAATTCTCAAGGTCAATCCACGATCCTAATGCTTATCGTGCGTCTACGGCCGTAGGGGTGGCTTCGTCCGCTGGATGCCACCCGATAGCGGCCGGTAAGCTTAAAAGGAAATATGATATCTGGGTTGTCCGTCAGGGTTATGATGGCACTCCAGCGGGGTAATAGACCCCCGAGACTGTCTTGGGGTTTCCTCTACGGTTGCAGGCCGGGATCTTCCCAGCGCACAGTGGGTGCTCGCACCGCTTGTGGCCCGGATTGCACCCTTTCACGGCCTCGCTACTTGACTTGTACAGGTGCCTCTCATCCTACTACACTCATATAAAATGATTACTTTTCGCATGCCTCTAGGATGCTTAGACTAACCGTTTGTTACTTTCTACGTGTCCAGCCTAGCGGGCACTGACATTTTAGTGGCAGGCACTACACACCAGCTCCAGACAGACCACGTTAAATACTGCAGGTCATCCAGCCATGAAGGCCCGAATGAGCCTCCTTGGCTTCCTGCAGTAACACGCTAAAGACTTGTTAAACACTTGCGTTCCTACACGCAGGTAGGTAGCCACTGTCACAGCTTCGTCCTTTCCACCTATTGTGTCTACTTGTCTCACTTACTCAAAAGTCTTATGTTACGTATTATATCAACTCGACAATTTAGACGTTTGTTAGTTTCTTCGTTCTGCTTATTAACGCAGTTCCGGCGCTCTATTGCTGCGCCCGGCAACGCACACTGTGCTCACTACAGGTTGGCTGCATGCCTGGCCAGTCAGTCACTCGAGTGCATGCACCTGCCGCTTGTTGGGGGATGTCTGGGGTTTAGGCAATAAATGAGCTATTTTCTTTTTATATCCCATTTTTTACAGTCGCCATGCGGCAACCGGTTGCCCCACTACTGCCCGCAGAACTGCTCAATTTCGCCCCAGCCAACACTGCCAGGCAAAGCATCTCTCATCTATTTGGCATTGATCAAGGCCCTTAGGAGTTTGCAGAAGGTTCGTTTTTTTCCACACATTAAATGCAACGATCTCATTTGAATTATACCTTATGGCTAGGGTGGGCATATCGGTGTTCACATTCTCCTCTCGTCGTCGGAACATATTTTCATACAAAATGTGGCTTTACAAGGAACCACACGTCATCACAGATTTCTACTCACACCAGTCGCAGTATATGGTTGGTACATGTCGTTCGGATGAATGTATCCAACATAATGCACTTAACTCACCCGACAGCTGGGGGAGACATCTGATCGGGAGGTCTGGCCGTTGTTTTTGTTTGGTGACCGTTAGGCCTTCCTAGGAAGAGCGAAGCCCCTTCGGAACTCTAGGTATCTCCAGAATGTCGCGCCGATACGACTCGCGCACGACAACCTTCTCTCCTGAAGGGAGACTTTACCAGGTAGAGTACGCTCTCGAGGCAATCAACAATGCCTCCTCCACAATAGGAATCCTGGCAAAGGATGGAGTTGTCTTAGCTGCTGACAAGATGATTACTTCGAAGCTGCTGGATCATGGAAGAGCGAAGGAAAAGCTATATAAGGTGAGAAATACGCGCTATCCCGAAAGACTTGCAGTCTTTCCTGCAGTTGAGCGAGTTTCTGCCTATGGCTATTCTGGCATCTTGTTCATAGCCATACAGAAACTGAAGTGTGATTGGGTGATTTGATAACACTCCGTGGTGCTGGAGGATACCTTTTCATTTGTTTCGGAGCTACAGATCTGTGCGCCTTTCAGTGCTAGTTGCACAGCCGTGGCTGACTGGCAACAAGTACTTTGGATGAGCATTGCATCTTTTCAGGTCGACAACCACGTGATGTGCGCAGTTGCGGGCTTGACAGCTGACGCAAACATTCTGATTAACCAGGCAAGAGTTAACGCTCAACGTTTTCTATATCAATACGGAGAACCGCAACCAATCGAGCAGCTTGTTGTACAGCTGTGTGATATCAAGCAAGTAAGCATGGGGTCATAGACTGCTTCTCACTTCATGTAAAATGCACCGCCAAGAACGACTGTATCATGAACCGTGATTTTAGCTGGATTGTGCGCAGTCGCTGGCATGTTATACTTCCGTTCAACGTACAATGTTTTGTTTGCAGTCATACACACAATTTGGTGGCTTGCGCCCCTTCGGCGTAAGCTTTCTATTTGCTGGTTGGGACAAGCATTACGGCTTCCAGCTGTATCACACGGACCCATCAGGCAACTACTCCGGATGGAAGGCTACTGCTATCGGCGTCAACAACCAGTCAGCGCAGACTATTCTGAAGCAGGTGGGATGTGTTTTGTGGAGCTCCTGGGTGATGTAGCTCGCCCTGTCATTATTTCTAGTTTTGTGCGAAGAGAAAATTGCATCTATATATAGTGTTCCTGTAGCTGCACTGCCTGATTACTAGCTGTTGCTCTTGTGGAGATGTGTTTGACGCAGGAATTGCGAGATGATATGGATGTACCAGCGGCGCTCGAGTTAGCAGCCAAAGTCCTCAACAAAACAATGGACACGGCAGCTCCAAGCGCAGATAAACTTGAAATTGCGGTTCTGCAATTTAACCCCGATGATCCCACAGTTCTGGAGCAGCGGTCGCTGCCTGCAAAGGAGGTGGAAGTTCTCATGAAGCGCGCCCAGGAGCAGCAGGCAGAGGCACAATAAAACCAATACTGGAAAAAACGATTCCCGTAGAACAGCAACTGTATTCGCTTCGCTCAAGTCAGGGCGAACTCCACGGTGTGCGCACTGCTCCGCAGCAGCGTCACAAATGTGACACACACCCCTGTGGGCGTGCTTTAACGATAATATACATTTTGGCTGAGTGAGTAACTTTCACTCAGCCAGTGCATAGGCGTATATATCGGATATATATCGGTATTTCTGTACCTTTCCGATTCGGCTGCAGCGGCTTCCAGTATTGAAAGCTGGAACCTCTGGGTGTTATGTGGTTTAACTCGAGGCACTCACCGCCAGATGCTCCCTCCGCTGAGCGGCTCTGACTGACAGGGTTTGCTATGCATTTAGTAGTGCCTTGTTCTAGGTCGTCTAGAGAGAGAAATATGCAGTCTTCGTTAGTGGTAGTGCATCAGTGTAGCAACATAACAGAGAAACCTGCAGGAAAAGCCTTTTCGGCACATGCTAACGAGTTAAAGATGAAGTTTCAGACGGAACAAATGCCGAAAGTAGGCTACGGTTAAACCGATTCACACCGCAAGAGAACGCGCATACGGGGACAGCTACGACCACGTGCGTGTCTCAAAAAGCAACACGCAGTGATTCAAGACCCTCCACATCATGTCCGCCATATGGGTACACATGGCTGCCCACTGCCCCATCACGTACGAAGCAACCTGGTCGCCGGTCCTGAGCATCCTCCACCTTGTGCTTTGCGCGTACGTTGTGCACATGTACGAACTCGAATGGCACACCGACGCAATCTCACAGCACGCTCAAGGCTGCCGCCTGCACTGTACTGCGGCTGGCTGTTCGGCGATTCTCTGGTTGCTCGGCAAACGGCTGCAGGTTCCAACTGGGAGCCTCGCACGCGCTGTCGAGCACTGCAGTGTGATCTGCTGCATCAGCATGCAGTAACTTCTGCCTCCCACTGACGACGTCCTCGGCCGCTGCTGCTGCTGGGTCAGTGACGGTCACCGGACGCCCCGCGGCAGTGGGACTCCGACAGTCTTCTCCAGCAGCTAAAGCACCTCTAGCAGCCTGAGCGGATGCTTCCGAATCGTCGTGTGGCTTCTGCTCGCAAGCTGAATGCTCCGGCTGTTGCTCGGCTTGTGCGCAGGGAGAAGAGATCACTGAATCAGCAGCAGGAGGATCCTCGTGCAGCGGGGTGTCTTTGCACCCCATAGGCTGCTCACAACAATCATCTGAAGGCGATACTGGTATTGCGTCATCACTGTCCACATCTGAAACAGAATGCACACTGAACTCGCAGGTAGGATCTGAACTATCCCTTTCATCGTTTGCCCCATCTACTGCCGTTGTGGACTCTCCGCACTCCCGTCCAGCTTGTATATGGTCTTTTTCTTGAGTGGGTTCCTCCTCAACAAGAATCCCTCTTTCGGCTTCCGTGTCAGTGGCTTCGTGAGGAGATGAATTGAGAGTCGGCGAGGAGACGGAACTGCCTGAAGGGGTGTTCGTTTCCCTGCACGAATGCTCTCCCTCGGTAGCACTGCTCGGGGGAGTTATATCTGTGGCTGGTGGCCGTGCAGGGCCAATCAGGCGCATGACTTTCTGCTGCGGCCTTCCAACCGGCAGGGAGCAAGATGTCACCCTCTTCCGTGCGTTTGCAAAAGGCGGTAGCCAGCCCGCCTGAGGCAACCGTCGGGGCTCCGAGTGTACTGAACGAGATTCCTTCTTCACGCACTCGTACAGAACTTCTAGCTGGGACCGAAACGACTCATTTGGCTGAGCCAACGGGTTCCGGCGGCGGACGAATGCCAATGCTTCATCAACAGACATGCCCTCGTACTTTATGAAATACGAACAGATGAGGGCAACAGACCGAGAAACCCCTTGGTTGCAGTGTATTAAGAGGTTACCATCTTCCCGAGTGCGGCAAGTTTCCATAAACTCCCATACACTCTCAAAATGAGGCTGTAACGTCTCCGCCTGCGTATCGAAGATAGGAACCCGCAAATATCTGAAGGCAAGACGCGAGCCCACGGACAGGCGTTCGTGGAAGTTGGGGACGCCCCCTTCGCCGCAAGGAGGAGTGCAATTGACAATATAAGCAATCTTCTGTCTTCTCAGCAGCTGCTCATTTCGTGCGGCCCTTCTATCCCCCAAGAAAAGCCACGGAAAGCGAACGGAATCCAGCGGCTCCAGACAGCGTGGCTCGCCGCACGCTTCCATTTTCCCCATCCCGAATCTGGACTGCAAACAGCGGCAATCCTTGGAGAAACGAGTGGAGTAACGCGAAGGGATTCGACTCAAGGCCCCATAAACCACACGGCGGGGGCGTGGCCCTGATATCCACACGATATTACTCCCGACGCTCGACGTGCTCCAATCAACGACCAACTAGATGGATGGAATGCAATGACATGGATGTTCCAGATCGGCTCAACGCAGGGCGCCGAATATCGCCAGCTTCCCAGTGAAGCATCACCGCACGAGCCTCACTCCAGTACAGCACGCTTTAACGAAAACGCGACTCTAATGGGTAAGCCAGCTCCAACTTGAAGTGAATAGAGCTGCAGTTTCTCGGATGCCAACCAGCGTGAAACGCTGAATCACCTCCGTTTGAGCTTCACACTGGCTCGCAAGCCAGCAGTCGCGCGTGCCGCGCGATCTTTCAAAACTGCGGAACCGTGGCGTTTTCTTCCTCAGCAGAAGTGGATTCGTTTCGTATGGGCTGTTGAATATACTCTAGAGGTCAAAGAAAAGAACCTCAATGACTGTTGTACAAAAAGCGAGCCGCCTGTAACTGGAACAGAGCAGCCATGCCCGGTGAAAGAGGAAATAGTCGCAACGTCTTTCGTCACTCCCTCTGCCTCAGTATATATAGCCAATCATGGCATGCATCCTATAGAGCAGTGCCGAGAAAAGACAACACGGAAAGAGTAATACAATACAGTCAAGCCGCGAACAGGCGGCGGGCGGTGCAGAAGGGGCTAAGGAAGGGCTGAAGCCAAGCCCCAAATTACCAGGCCTTCCAGTGCCTCACGTGAAAAGCAGAAGCTCTTGTATATAATATCAATAATTCGATTCCACACGGATTCATTCCTTGATGATGGAGGCAAAGGTACCGGGAAGAGTCGTAGTACAGCTAGTCAGGGACTGCTGTTCAGGCAGCCGAGACATGTACGATCGCTCCCTGAGTTGTATAAGTATAGTGTGACTCATGTTCTGCTCATTCCACATGAGCCACCACTTTTAAACCACATTTTTGCCTTTTTTAGCCCGAGGCGATCGAATTTGTCGCTGCGTCTGCGTTGGTGGCTGCTCATGGGTGGTCCAGGGCGCGCAGTTGGCAGTGCGCCGTACTTTTTTGGCGTACGCTGTGCTATCAGGATAGGCAAACTTAATCTAATGGGCCACGCATACTCCACTTTACTGTGTAAAAATTGCTCATTAGTGGACCCTCCCTCCCAACTACTACCTGCTTCTATTACGTGCGATACTATAGAGTGCAGCTGGTAGAAAAAAACCAATGAGCAGGACGAAGGCTAGATGCTTTCGTCAATGCGCAGTACCAGTGCTCCTAGGTTCCCTTAAAATTAGTCATTCAACCAAGGGGTCCTCTGCTAGTATGACCGGCTGAGGGTCCCTTACCTAGCGCTGGTAGACGCCTCATGCATCTCAATAGATTTTGTTAGGAGCCAAGGAGCTCAATCGAGCCTTTCAAGTGTGTGGACGCGCGTATTCGTGGCATTGATATGGGATTTGTACTGGGTGGAGCTGTCTTGCTGCGGAGAAACCAGTACATTTCGAGGGAGCTGTAGAGGTCACTGACGTCGCTAGGATGGCTGACTCCGAACAAGCTACAGTCGAAATTGAACACTGGTGAGGTGGGAAGCAACACCCAATAGGGCCCTCAGTGGATTCAAGAACAATCGCCTCCCGGCTGCGTTCCTCACGATAGTGATGCAGTGCAGTTTGTAGGGAGATTGTGAAATGACGTCCGGCTTCAAGTGGGGCTGTCAACGGAATTGTCTTGCAGCATCGGATGTAGTGCTCACCAAACATATACTCGCCATATAGAAAGCAAATATGAGGATTATGCCTCGAAAGGTGGGTGTTTAACTCCTACCTCAACAACGTAGAGCAGTTGCTTCCACCCACCCGAAGATGGTGCTGCTACCATAGTGCCAGCTAGCTATATCAGCTATTGAGTTGTGTTGGTAGCAGTCCTTGATAGGGTACTCGTAGTCACCGGCATTCTTCAGAGGATCGAGAAGCACGGCGAGTGCACCGAGCCGACTTTCTGGGGTACATTGTCTCGCAGTTAATCAGAGCATTTCTGAGAATGTCTCGTCAGAATTGCAAGTTTTTGTAAGTCTGGCCTAAACAAAGCACTCACACGGGTCCCACCAAGTACAGCATAGCACGCAAAGCCTCACTCTACGGCCGAGCAGGGAAACTGCCGCCAGTAGCGAATACCTTTTCCAGAAATTATAGAGTGGCGTTCCTTATGCCTGCAGGTGAACCCCCAACCAAACTTGGGCAGACATAACGGCATACTTCTTGTCAGAGACCCGTACAACAACACGCACTGTCCGTTTTTGATATATTCCCTAAACAGTCGTCAAAATTGAAGCGTTTTTAATGTATCTGAAAATGCAGAGCGCAGGGGATTCAATTGATTCACAACACACCATGTAAAATTCAGTGACCAACCAGAACCTTACTCGATTCCTTCCTTTATTGGGGACAATAGACGAGATGTCCAATATGTTCCGTAGACAATGCCCTGGACGAGACAGGAAAGATCACTTGTAGGTTTCGGTATCCCCGATTAGGAGCGTTTGAAGTGTTTCTACGGATTCCGTCCATCAACAGAAAAATTGTAGGCTACCACATTTCACCTGGAGCAGTAGATTCTTCCACTTGCCTCCTTGCAGTGGTGTATTTGATGCTGCTGAAGGGGCTGACTCCCAGTTTCCCTGCAATATAAACATAGAAATCTAAACATCATTCAGTTTAAGGAAGTAAGTTCAGTTTCACAGACCAAAGTGCCGGTGCGACTGAAGGTTTTCACTGAATCCAGCTGTGCCGCACTGCAGCAAATTTTCTCCAAACTAACTTGCGGAAAGTGGCCGACACCGGACGCCGTTGCACAACGGATTCAGCGAGCACTGCAGCAGCCGTCCAGCTTTGCAGAAGATGGACCGCTGGCCCCGCTTAAAGTGGCTGGGCCTGTTTCCCACCAACATCCTCCGTCTCCTCCAACCAGGGCGGTAAGCAGCTTTTTACCCGTACACAAGCAAAGAAAAGAAGATCGGTTTCTGTTTCACTCCTCAGAGAAGTGGAGCACAATGCTGTAGCTACCTTTATTTCCCTCGAGCATTCTCATTTTTGTAGTTCAGCACACATTCGAAACGCGTGTACGCTGGCTGTGTGTGTTTTCGCAGGCCCTTTCATCCCATGCTTCTATGCATGGGGCTGCTGTCAGTGCTAAGCATATGCGCACTACCGAAGAATCCACAGCGGGAGAACAGCAGCGTGCCGGAGGCGTTCAAGAAACGGGGGAGACCGAACTGACAGATCATGATGCAGTTGAGGATGGAAAAGCGCAAGATGGTAGGCTTCAAATGCTCAAACGTTTTACATCAACTACAAATTTGTTCGGTCCCTTGACGCACTGCTATATCAGAATATTGAACCATGTGCATTGTCCACCGCACGTTCAGAACCAGCCAACGCTAGCAGCTCCGGAGGCAAGGCCAAGAAGAAGCACAAGGACAAGGAAGATGGCTCAAAGTCCGGTGAACCGAGCAGCTCAAGTCTAAAAGCAGACAGCAGCCATGGTGGCGACCAGGCATCGTCAACCCCATCTTCCGATAAGGCGAAGAAACACCACAAATCAAAACACGGCAAAGACAAGGGCGAGGGCAGCCCAGAAGCAACAGAAAGTCCTGATAAGCCAGAAGTTAAAACAGACAAAGCGGGCGATGGGGACACGGGCGACACAGGTGAAAAAAAGAAAAAGAAGAGCAAGTCTAAAGAAAAAGAGGAACACGTCAATGAAGACGAAGGGGCCGCAACAAAGCCTGACGCCAAGAAGAAGAAAAAGAAGGCGACAGATGGGGAGATAGAGGCAGGGGGGCAGTCCGCTGAAGATAACAAGGGTTCTGCCAAAGGGGAGGCAAAGAAAAAGAAGAAGGAAAAAGATGAGGATAAACAATCTTCCGGGGCTCACGAAGGTATCGATGATACATCAGGGAAATCGGCGGACAGCAAGAAGGAAAAAGCAAAGGCGAAAGAATCTGCCGAAAAACTCGAAGAAACCGGTGGTGAGCCTGGTGGTACGGAAGGGAAAAAAAAGAAAAAGAAAAAGGATGAAAAAGACAATGCATCGCCTAACGAAGGAGGCGAAGGAGACTCAGCAACAACAGATGCCAAGAAAAAGAAGAAAAAAAGCGACGACAAAAAGGAGACAGCGGAGACACCTGAGGGAAACGACGACTCTTCAGGCGCTACAGAGGGCAAGAAAAAAAAGAAGAAGAGCGACGACAAAAAGGAAGCAGCTGAGACACCTGAGGGAAATGACGACTCGTCAGGTGCTACAGAGGGCAAGAAAAAAAAGAAGAAGAGCGACGACAAAAAGGAATCAGCTGAGACACCTGAAGGGCATGACGACGGGTCAGGTACAGCAGATGGCAAGAAGAAAAAGAAAAAGGATAAGAGCGAGGAACACGGTGATTCAGGAGAAAATAAGGAAGGTGCTACAGACGATGGTAAAGGAGACAAGTCAAAGAAAAAATCAAAGAAAGAAAAAAAGGACTCATCAAATGCCGATTCGAATGAATCTGAGGACAAGCAGAAATCAAAAGGCAACCCTCTTGCAAACTGCTCTAGCCGTGAGTGTATTTCGTACTCTTTACCAACTGAATTGCCAAATCTAACAAACGTAACTTTCTGCGGCCAACAGCCAGCGCAATGGTTTTGCTGAGGTGCCCTCTTCAGATCCTGTCGGTCCAATTACAAGGAATTACGAGCTGACATTCCCCGTGGGAGCCAAGCAAACTCAAGTGCGGATACGCTAAACGTAATGAACAGTTGCAGCAGAGCGCTATCTAGTACTCATATTTCGTGTTGCCCTTTGGCATCAGGACTGCTTGACGCACATATGCGTAGGGATAAGACCGAAACACGTGGATAGCACCGCTACATGGAAATATTCATCCTTCTGCTTTTGCTTGTGACTTCTGCAGAGGCTTTCGTACCAAAACCCTAAGGATGTGGGTTTAAATATAATTATGGTGTCGTCAGATGAAACCGTGATGACTCCTAAGTAAGCCACATCCGTACCAGACTGCCTTTGCTCTTGTCACCGTGCAATACTTGCGGGACAATTCGATGGGTTACATCGGCGCAAATTCCCAAAACTGGAAAATCTTGTTTTTACAGGAAACCCGAAATGACGCTGGGCCCTGGCGAGAGTGTGAAGATCCCCGTGGCATTCCAGGAGGTTTGATTCACAGTTGGTATTAGTAAATCAAATAACGGGAATACCCGCCCTTGATCCACTAAAACTAAAGAATGACCGTCTTCCTAGGAGTTTTGTGTTGCAGGTCGCTGAGGCATGCGAGAAGACTGTGTACCTCTACATGCTGCAGAAGGAATCTGACCAAATAATGTAAGGCAATCCGTGGAACTCTGAGATAATGTCGCAGACCTCACTATTCCATACTGGTGAAGTGTGCTTCTGTCGCTTACGCCTATCAAAAACAATCGTTGCCTTCCACTGTTCGCGCTCAGGGAATGCGTAGAGATGTCCCTCACTTTCAAGTAAACGCCGCAGATAGCGGAGTTCGCCAGCTGGGGACTGGAACTCAAGTCTGGATACGCTATCATACGGTCGCAGCAACCATTCGCTCAACCGGTCCACTGAAACCTTGTGGTATAAGCTGCAGCTGTTGGAACTGACATGAACCCAGCGTGGATATGGCGGGCCTAAGCGTGGGTATGGTAGCCACTACTCAAAGGTGCATGTGCACGTTGACCTGCAAACGGCAGGCCCCCAGTTGCCAATGTGGGCTCCTTCTACTCTGCCTCACTGTTGCCCTCCTGCATCTAGATTTTATGAGTAGATGCAATTTTGTTCTCCGGCACTTCCCAGCCTATGGGGAAAGCTGACTCTCCCACCAGCACGGATCCATGCAGCTGCTGTGGTTTGCAGTTGCCACACTATCTAAGCAATGCTGGGGAGGAATAAAAGTAATACACTTTTTGTTATTCGCACTGGTTGGGTGCGTATGGCCTGCAGCTTCATTGCTGCACTGATGTTATCAACCAAATGCACAATTAAAAAAATTGGTGTTTGGGAAGTTTAGAGACAAAAGTGGCAGACAAAGCGGCCACCTGCACTAAGGAAAAGTTACGAATCAATTCACAGGCTCGTGCTCCTTCAGTTGTTTCAGAACTTGGCTCGGTGTGAGAATATTCGTGCCGCCTGCACGAATATTGCACCAAAACAACACGAAGCACAAGAGGCTGCAGCAAACAAATAGGATCACAACTCTAATAAACTGGAGCACTACAAGCATGAGCATGGAAATGCAAACAGAGGAACATAGCTCACCGATGAAAACCTCGCAGTTCAGTTCTTTTGACACTTCATACGCGCATCTCATTTCGGACTGTACAATGCCGCCCAAGATAAAAACTATTAGGCCCTTTTTAGACTTGTCCAGAACTGGCGAAGAATTCTGAGGCTGCATATTCAAGTCAGAAGACACAAGCATGTAAAAACAACCACTAAAAGCAGTGGAACACGCAGTGAGCAGTGACGAAAAGTGACCTGCGTTATACCGAACAATTTACCTTTTGCACAACCTCAGGGGCAGACGATTCCCATGTCCACTCCGTCGAACGCCCAATGACTGCAGCTGCAGCACCAGGAAGGCAACGGACTACAACAAATAGTTCTGAATGATACTGTGCAGAAAAACAATGACACTGGGAATCTATAGTGGAAGCAATGGCACGAATAGGATACAAGAAATCCAAACCCGATACTGGCCGGACACACTTCCTCGCTTCGTTTGCGCTGGTTCTTGGTTGTCCATCCTTCTCCTGTGTACGCGCCGCACATCTCACAAGAATAAGGCAGAGAAGTGAAAATACGTGGGAGTAAACAGTCATAAAAAACCTTCCCCTCTATACTGCATCTCCAGAGACTCACGATGGTTCATCAACAAAAGGAAAGCGACCTCCATGCAGGGTCCCCTCGATTGCTTTCTGAGTTTCAATACGCATCATAAGATTGAGAGAGCAGCTATGGAGTTGGCTATCCGTCATCCACTTCGATAAGCTCTGTTTAGTGTCGCCCTTTGCTCACTTCCATGATTTCGCGGACTGCAGGTTCAAACCTGGAGAGATCGTAGCGCGCCCGTTTCGCCCGTTGCTTAAAGTGTCGAATCTTCTCTCGATCGTCTTCAAAGCGGTGGGCCGGCTTTGATTTCTGCATTCAAAACGCACCGTACTAGGAAAGTGGAACAGTATTGCTAGGAACCGTTACCGCGGTCTTAATGCTCCTGCGGTTTAAATGAATCTGGGGAAAACGCCACAACAGCATGCACCCACACTGTACGCATATGGCAACGAGCATCCTGTAATCCTGAAAAACATTATGGTCTGCCCCTATGGAGGTGGCGTACCGAAGCTTGTTCGCGCGACAAGGAAGCTGTGTGGAGTTCAACTGCATCACACCCGCGATCCGTGCATGCGTGCTGTTATTTGTTTGCCAAACGCGTTGCCAAATAATCAGAAGCTGGGTTGGGGGAGGAGTAACCTACGTTCTAGGAACCTTTGGATACAATGTTGATTTATTAAGCTCATCTGTGCAGTTTCCATTGCCTGGAGAAAAACGAAGACAGAAAGACGAAAAATATATTTACTCAAGCTCAATTAACCGGCCTGTACGAAGCACCTTTGCTTCCCTCTTCACTAACCTTTGCCCGATCTGCAGTATCCAAACCAAGGATCTGCGTAAACTCGAGTAAAAGCAGTCGAAGTTTTTCATCAGGCCTGAGAAGTCGAATTCCACCGGACTTGTCGCAAGATCTTAGAGAACTGAATATCTCCCCTCATGTTTTCCACACTGGGTTAATAGCTGCTAGAAGAGCTCGCAAACAGACCCACCGGATAGTGTCATCAGAAACCAGTGACCCAACAGCTGCCTGCAGCTTCGACGCGCTGATCTCCTTTCCATCTTTGTCAACGCCACAGCAGAGGTCCTGAGGAAAGAAATAAGGGCAAGCTACATACTGTCCAACACAGGGCACTGCATTTTCAGCACCTGTTTAGTTCAAAAATGTGCAGTTGCTTTAATGCTTGAATTGCAGCTTCCTGCACAAATGTTGCCCAGCTTCTAGTGGGCCTTGGGATGTCGTTTTGACTACACTTCGAACCATACCTGTTCCACGGCACCAACAGTCATGATCTTCAGCTCTTGAAGTCTATCAAAGCACTTCTCACTGAGCGTTACGTGGGTCCAGTACTACATTTCACCACAAGCAAAGCAAACACTCAGATGATGGCGATATGGCGCAAATAACAAGAGTTCTCAGAAGAGAACGTAGAAGCGCTCAGCCGTACCCGCGACAGCGCCTCCTGGTACTGTGGAAGGGAGCGAATCGCCCGTAGGGTGTCCTCTGATGTCGTTGCCTGAAATGGCCCACAAGTGGATGGACAAAAACTGAGTCCCATCAGTTTATGATTCCCATGGCTTGAGGAAAGGTTCCAGGTGAATTTTCTCCGCAAAATCCAGAGAAGGGAAAAGAAAACAGCACCGCGCCTTACCATATTTTGCTGCACCTTGGCAGTGCTGTTCTCCTTAAGAAAGAGCTGAACTTCCTCCTGGACACTTTGATTTACTTCCTGAACGTGCTGGTGACGGTACCGAACCCACACTTCGTCTTGCTCGCCAAGTATAGCCTGTCCACAATTCCGTGTTGGGAGATGGCTGCAATATGCTGTTTCATGTTTTTCCTGGGTTGCGAAAAGCGTGCAGAAAGCAATTTCTCCAAACACCGTAAACACATCAACCGCTCACCTTCTTCCTTTCAACAAGGCCCATATTGTTCGTCACATCATACCTGAGGAGGCCCGCAAGACACGGCTCTCATCAGTCTACGTCCTCATGCGCCGCACCTATCGTGAGCACTCGAATACCATGTAGCCCTCCCCTGCAGCTTCCCATATTCGCGTAAGAACTGTGTGCTTACTCATAGACGTCCTCCATGACTACTGGAGTGTCGCGGGAAGACTTCTTAGGCGGCTCATTGCAGCAAACCGGAAGGTCCAAAACGTCATACGCCAGGGCCTGCCCAATGACACGCTGAAATTCTTTGAAGAGGGAGCTTACTGCCCCTTCCAACGTGGCCAAAGTAGCAGCATAGTCTTGCAAGTCTAAAGTCGTTAATTTTTCACTCGTTCGGAGTGACGCGAAGCCTTCATACCTGGTAAGTGTATTCGTGAATAAAGAGAGGCGCCAGGTCCACCGAGCGATCCAAGATAAGGAGCGTGGTGCCTGGATGGTCAGACGGCTGCGCAAGGGAAACATGCAAACGCATATTCGGGTGCACATACATCTGATTGCTCCAGAAATACGCTGATCCAGTAAACAAATCTTTTGGGGAGCACGGCGAATGAGCGCACCAGTTCCTCAGCCTCCAGGCCTTTGTGAACAAGTGTCGCCAGCTGCTCGCACCAAGGTAGCTGGTTTTTGTGGTAGCGGATTGCAGGCTTTTGCCCAATTGTAACGCAGAGTGAGATTAGCTGCGCCACATCCGTCCATAACACATAAGACACCCAGTAAGCTGTGATCCCAGCTGGGCATAAGCGTTCATCCTACGGCATCCGTGCAACAGCCATAGCGTTCAAGCATACGTCGTCCGCTACTTTCTGGAGCAAATACGGCGAAGGAAGAGGGAACAGCTCGAGTAATGCATTCGGCATCCCGAAATGGAAAACCCGTTGCTCGTATGCTGTAGCACAAACGCAGCAAGCGAACCTTGGAAGAGTGAGACACAAAATATGATTAGTCGGCAGAAACTCTAACAGCTCAGGTACTAATGAACGGCGGATAAGGATCGAACAGAGAGGCTTTACCGTCTGCCCAGCTCGTTATGCGAGCTTACCAATAAAACTCAAGTTGAATTCGAAAAGGCATCTAATTCGCGGAAGCAACGTAGGAGAGTCCGCTAAGGTGGCCATGATCTTGCTGGAGTCAGCTGAAAGAGCATCCGAAACACAGTACATTGTTCAACACCTTAAAACCGTATCCACATTGTGTCAAAAACTGTGAGGCTAAAAACGGAAGTGATGAGGCTGCTTAAGTGACGTTCACGCCTAACAAATACGAGCTTCCTCTAGAATGCCGGTTTCTCAGTTGCTATTCACTTCGTAGTCGGAATTTGTACACGCTTATTAGGAGCATATATATATATATATATATATATATATATATATATATATATATATATATATATATATATATATATATATAAAGCATCCCATGGTGAGACAACTACCAAACACAATGGGTTGATTGCGCCATAGCTGAGACTTGGGAACATTTTGACAGACGAATGGGGGAAGCGAAGTAGACATAAGCTGAGCGGTACTGGGGCTTCTTCTCGTCTTTGAAGTCTTCTATGAGCGCCCGTACTGAATCTTCGGAGGGTGAGAGAAAGTACAGCGCGTTCAGCTCTGGTAGTGGCTGGCGCTGCTTCGAAATCAGCTCTACAACTGCAAAGCAGGCATGTCACAATTCAACACGTCAATATTTTTTATCATTTATTGTGAAGGTGAAATTTACCGCACGCCAGCACATGTTTGTGCATTCGGTCTTCGCAACGTGGCAAGAGAGATATAACTTGTGCGTACTTGTTACGCCGTCGTAGAGGACGTCATACACGCTACAGCATGAGGACAAAACCTTGAGGGTCTTGTCGTCCACAACCATTGCGATATAGTTCCCGGGACCGCCGACTCGGCGGACCATTCCGTCGAGAAGTCCTGCAGGAAGTCACTCTCACCGAACAAGCATCAGCTTCAGGCCTCGAGACCTACTGGGTAACTTCACAGGTAAATGCTGCACGCCAAACTCGCGTATTGGTCCAGCAATTTGGAACATTTGCGTTAGAGCTTTCACGCACTCTTCTTGCTGATAACCTTGATCGACGCCATGGTCCCTTAGGCCAGCGGAGAGGACACTGCGGTTCATGAGGGGGAAGTGATCTCGGGTGACTCGCAGCGTTTAGCTGGTTGTGGCCCTCCGCAAAGTTGGCGTCGCGCCGGCAGTCTCTGCATGCTAAGGTGTCAAGGGTGCAATTCCTCTCTTCCGTCTGGAGAGCTTCACCCCTTCGTAGCCGTACAGGAGCGCTCGTGGAACCATGCAGGCATCTTTCAGGCCTTTCCATGCGATTCTGTGAGCTACTAAGGCTAAACTTCAGGGGGGGTTCGCCACATCGGACGGCGATTGTCGTGGGTCGGCAGTTCGGGAACAGAACACGTGGTGTCTGGAATTTTCCGCAACAGTTGCTGTTCTCAGTTGCTTTAGAAACCAAATATCTGTTAGTTCCTACTCATCAAAATGAAGAACTCAAAGATCTCTTCAGATATGGGCACAGCTGGGGCCCCTGTCCTGGAACAGAGGGCCCCAAGCCAGCCAGTTGAGTGACGAGATAGAACATCGCCTCACGAAACAGCTTAGTTCCGCACAGTTTTGCAAATATTCAAGGAGGAGGTAACATTCAGTGTGTTCAACTGGTCCTTCGCAGAGTAGTTGTGCGAAGGCAAACCCTCCCTAAACGCGGAATTACTGGGGATGCGAACACTGGGGTTCTTGAACTGCCATACCACACACCAACATATGGGGCTAGAACAGGCCTCATCACCATCCTGGCTAGTGGCATGGGAGAC